CAGTTACTGAGGCAGTTGGCTGTAGCTGGAGCTACATAAGGAATGTCTCTGGGAAAGGCAGGTAACTTATCCTCCAAAGCTCCATCTACACATGCAGCAGACTTGCATGCAAAATTCTGGAGGTGGTAGGATAGCTTGTATCATTGCAGGGTGTGGAGTAGAGGCACATGGTTTTGAATGGTCCCCTGCATAAACAAAGCTTTCTACACATGTATATTGATTTATTTAGATATATGCACCTAGCTTTTCTCCCCAGCTAGGACCCAAACCTGCTTCTATTTCTTTCACCACAACAACCCTGTAAGGTAGGTTCGGCTGAGAGTGTGGCCTGAGGTCACCCACTGAGCTTCCCTGGAAGAGCAGGGATTTAAACCTGGATCTTCCAGACCCTGGTCTGAAACTCTGACTGTTACATGGGATCAGGCTGAACAAAGTTTTCTACTTCCTGCATTCATTTTAATTGCAGAAAATTTAGTTCACAGGGGAGCATTTGCTGTGGCAGTCTCCTATGTGAAGAGGCACAGCCCCGGCTAGGGAGCAGGGCTGCCTGAAACATGACGGCCTACACTTTAAGGGCTGGGGACCCAGCAAGAGGGCACCCAGTCTCTAAACTAAGCACAGTGCAGTGTTGGATCGCTTATGGACAAAACTATGCTGTTCCTCAGCTGTTTCTGTCCAGCTTCCCTTCCTCTGTGCTGGAGAGTGGGGGTGGGGAGGGAGATTTGAGCCCCTGAGTGACAAACCTGTTTGTTACAGGACAGAAATAGCTGAGGCACCTCTGCCTTGCATCTTTCAGAGCTGGATAGCAGGATCAAGTTTCTGGAAGGCTAAGCAATTGGTCATTCTTAGAACAGGACAGGGAGAGACCTAGGATAAGTAGTAGATCACTGATGTTGTGCCAGGCTAGGGCTGCCAACTTTTTTGGACTAGCCCCTGTAGCTGTGCTTTAAACGGCCACTTCATCTGCATTTATTTCAATATTTATACCCATTTTACTCCCCCAGTAGGGACACCAAGCGGTTCACAACATTGTTCTGTCCCCCTCCTTGTATTAACAATGCTATGAGGAAGGTTAGACTAACAGAGAGTTACTGGCTCCAAGTCACTCCAAGTTTCTGTGGCAGAGAGGGGATTTGAACCTGCTTTGTACTGCTTTGGCTTGCTCAGTAGACTCAGCATATCAAGGACAGCTTCCTCTGCTGACTGATGTAGAATCACAGCTGGATCCACAGATGCATGCATGGAAATGGAAATGCACTTAGTGGAGTTCCTCTTATGCACACAATAGCATAGGGGCTGCAGAAATACATTGTGCTTTAAGTGTACTTTTCAACCAATACACCCCAATGAATGTGTGGCAGAATGGGATGTGCAACAGATAGTTCGCATGATTTCATCTAAAGAGTAGGCCATGATTGGGGTGGGGTGGGGGGTTGATTCCTGGTCAGCAATTATTCTAGGCTACTCTTGACTTCTTGCATTTAATAGCTTAATCCTCTATAGGACTGGGCAAATTTAATTTTGTTTATTAAAATGTTTTTATCTCACCGTTCCTCATGGCTCAAGGTGGTTTACAATCCACAGTGAAAACAGTACGATTTAAAACCAACAGAATAAAAACCCAAATTCCCCCCTCCAACCTTGTTGTTGCATTTCTTTCTATGGGTTTCAGTATAGCTTTCAACTGAACTAAGCTGTAGCTCCCCCCACCCCACCCCGAAAAGTGAAAATTTTGACTGCTTTTGGTTGTCATGAACAAAACTGAGATAATTTCTGTATGTGCACAAATATTTCCTTGTTTAGGAAACCTTTGATATAGCTCATCAGTTATGATGTCTCTGTACAGGCACTTCAATAAAATGGACTTTGTTTCTTCCCCAGAAAGTGAGGTTCCAAAGGCCCATTTCACCCTGGTTCGAAATCCCAGTCATTGATAAAGAAGCAATCTCCAGTTTGTTGAAGTGCCAGAAATCTGGTGATTCCACCATATTGGAATTAGATTAAAGATTTCCTAAAGCAAGACTTTGGTCATGATGTGGCACATCAGGAGAGGAGGGAAGGACTGTGTGAGCCTGAAAAGTTCATGCTTATCACCAGCTGTGGCTTAGTTGTGATGTCTTACCCAAATCTCCCCAGCGGATCAAAGAAGAACAGTGATTTGCAACAGAAGGGGACCAGAAAAGAGGAGCTATCTCTGGGACATGTTCAGCACCTGACAACCGCAACTGTGAAAATTTGGCTGTGATTATCTAAAAGGGCCTTCTGTCCCTGGAGTGTTTGGAAAAAAATTGTTGGTGAAATTAGAGAGTCTTTGATTCACATGATACCAGTGCTTTGGAGGATTATGAATATAATGTCAAGCACATGGGCATCATGTAGGACTTTTTCTTGTGGTGCACAAAGGAGACTTTCCCAAACTGATGATAGCTGAGGCATACTCCCCTCTCCAAATTAAAACTGGAAGCATACTTTCCTCTTACACACACCCGACAAATTGGGAGGCACAAGGTTCTTTGACACTGCAACTCTGAGAGCACTTCCTTTGGAGTAAGCCCCACTTAATAGACTAGAGTAGGATTCTGAGTAGACCTGCTTAGGATTGTTCCCTTTGGATGACCTGACCCTGCTCATACTGTTTCCCAGGTATCGAAAAGTATAGGAAACACCACAATAATTAAAAAGACAGAGTTAAGAATTTGACTGGCCCATAGCCCATAAGTGATTCATTGGATGTTAGTGTGGGGCTACACATTGATCCACATTTTGCCAAGTTCCCCAAATCTCTTTTCCATTTTGTTTTGGGGGGCCCAAATAGCAAAGCCAAACTGCAGTCAGACTTTAAAAACATGTACACATTCCCCTTACACTGCAGAAGGTAGCATTCACATGGATCATGTTACATACAATTTACTATGAATAGCAAAATTTAGCACAAAGTAACCACAACCACCGCATACACTAAAACCGGGGGTGTCCAACGTGCAGCCTGGGGGCCAGAACCAGAGCTCTTATCCAGCCCGCAAGCAACTGGTGCAAGAGAGGGGGGGGGGGCGGGGGGGGGGGGGGAGCGGGCGCACTGGCACACATAGTGAGGTGTGTGCAGTCAAAGCTGTCAAAAAATAAAAAGAAATGGCTAGGGGGCAGTTATGGTATCCCTTGGGGAAAAACCCTAGTCTTGCATAAGATTAAATACATTTATTGGAGCTTTTGTTGGATTCCTCAGTAAATCAATTGCTATCACTCCAGGAATCAATTGCTTTTGTTTGTATTTTGAGTAAAAATAATATTAATAATATTGTTAACTGGGTTTGCCTGTTTCATTTAAAAGTTATATCTCTGGTACCTGGCATTTCATTTTATGGCAGACATGGCCCAGCCCGACAAAGTAACTTTTATGTCAGATCTGGCCCTCGTAACAAACAAGTTTGACATCTCTGCTCTAAAACCATCATTTTATGGATTCATCATAAAGTCTCTCTTTCCCCAGCTTGTAGAAATTTAGATTTTTGTCATTCTCTGAATTTTTTTGACATTTCTAGCTTTGAAGGGTTCGAAGTATTCCACGTAGTTCTTGCAAGATAGCCTCAGTTGTTTTAGAAGTATTCTTTTTCTCTCCTGAGCACTTTTCTTCTGTTGTGAAAATTTTTAAACCCACAAAATAGATTAAATCTGGGATGGACTACTTAACCCCCTTAGGGGTTACTGTAATTTACTGGGATAAATTTTGGTAGTCTTTAAGGTGCTATTGGACTTCTTTTTAGTGTTGCTAGAAAAGACCAACATGGTTATCTACCTGGAATAACCCCCTTTTACTCATTCTTTTAATTTTTATTACTCATTTGGGTACCCCCAGGGAATTTGAAATTTATAAAAGAAGAAGGCATAATCCCAACTGGTTAGAAGTCAAGACATAATGAATGTTGTGGGCTGGGATCCTAAGTGATCTAAGACCAAAAGAAGTGCCTCATTGAATCAGAATCCTAGCAACTAGGTGGACAGGTTGTGATCGAGCTGACACTGGCCCTGTTCTGGAACAGTGACTTTCTGACTACAAATAAAAATTTGGACACTTTCTAGTGTCCCTCCCCAAGTCAAGCATGCTACCCTGCTTCCTCCTCCTCCACCCCATTTGCTCCCCATATATGTGCACACATGTGCACACATAGGCCTTAGGGGAGTGGAAAGTTGCTGGTCCACTCCATCTCTAAACCAAGATAGGGAAGCTCACCCCAGAGGCTTCTGTGATGTCATGGGACGATCTTCCATTTCTAGTTGGTAAAATGGCTGGGGAGTAGGGTTGCCAGGTCCCCCTTGACCACTGGCATGGGGTGGGGGGGAGGGTTGCCAGCTCCAGGTTGGGAAATTCCTGGATATTTGGGGATGGAGCCTCAGGAGAACAAGGATCTCAGTGGGGTACAATGCCATAGAGTCCACCCTCCAAAGCATCCATTTTCTTCAGGGAAGCTAATCTCTGTAGTATGAAGATCAGTTGTAATCCCCAGGTCCCACCTGGAGGCTACCATTCCTACTGGGGTGGCAGAAGAGCGTGGCTCTCTTGCTTCTGGCATTCCTCCCACCGGAAAATGGACAATCCCCCTAGAGGCCCCTGCAATAGCACAAACATCTAAGTTCTGATTGCAAAGTCACCTGGAGGGAACACGACATAAATCATGCATGACTAAGCCATGCTGCATTCCCACCCCCCACATCCCTCTGACTGGGAGACAGGAGATTGTCCTAAAGAACCCTACAACATTACAAGGCACTTGGCGCAATCTCCCATTTCCTGGTGAGCGCACGGAGGCCAAACATCTCTGATCAGCAGTGGGCCCTTGGCAGGCACCCCCCACTGTATTGAGACCCTGACCCAAAGATGCAGTTCTGAAACCAGTGTTCCGAATGCTCTGTTGCTATTTCCCACTCCGATCACACTAAGCTGTCCCATTCTTCAGGAAGAAAAACAAAACCCGCTTGGCTGGCTCTGTGCCCATTCCACTGACCTTCCAAGGACTTGGTAAATATTCCAGTGGAACAGGCAGATGGATTCTGTCACAAGTTGTTCTGAGAATGAAGGCTGTCTTTTGCTCCCCGCTTCAGTGTTGAGAGGTTGATCTAATGGAGGATGAGGCCACAGGCATCTGTATGCTTTGCAAGCGAAAAGAACCGAGGAGACTAGGCACAAGGCCAGACGTCAGCAGCTCTCCTGGCTCTTCTCCTCCTCCCCTTTTCCCAATTCAGCCAGGCCAGCTGACCACCCTTATCATATCCCCTATCACTTTGGCTGGAAGGGAGTGACGCAAAAAGAGGTCTGACAGGCCAAGAAAGGGAGAAGAGCTGAGCCAGCCAAAGACAGCTTCCGAGGGGCCTAGAATACATGTGGCACCTTTACCACTGCAGAACACAGCTTAACTATTCCTCTGGTTCTGATCTCTTCTGAGTCACTAACTGAAGCTGTGGTTCTGGTAGACTCTGTCTGCCCCCCATCTGCCGTTTTGGGAGGATATCATATCGAACTACCCTACCAGGCTGTTGTAAGGATTATTCAACTTGTACACATACAGCGAGATGTAAACAAACAAAAACACTCCCCAATTTAAAAAAAAAATCACAGCAGAAAGAAATGTTCTGGCACAGCATTTCCAAGGAGAGGCTCACTTAAGAACACTTCCTTGGCACCACACTGAAACTTAAATTTTTTTTTTTTAAATTCCATTGTTGGAATTGTGCCAAAGACTAAATAAAAATAACAGGACTAGTATGTCTCTAGTAAAATCCAACAATGGAATTTTAAGATGGGGTTGGGGGAGAGAGGAAAGTATCTTGTATTTAAACATACGATACTTAAATATATATGTTTTATATAGAGAGATACCTTTTATCCAATACTCCCTCTAAGCTGTGGAGTCTTGTGAGCAAAAATTCTACTTTGTGAGCTACTGGCGTTAAAGTTGTGAGCAAGTGATTTGGCTACCACATAGTTTGCTCTGGCGCCATCGGCCCTGAGCTGAGACAAAAATGTGTAAACCAGAGGCTCAAAAACTGTGCGCTAGCTCACACTAACTCAGCTTAGAGGGAACACTGCTCTTATCTGCTCCTTCCTCTGGAAAGGTGAATGTCTCTTCTTCCTGACACTAATGGATTCTTGGCCAGAGCCATTTCCCAACAAGTAGGCCCATTAAGGAGATACCACTTTAGGCCAGACCCTATATGACAGAATTGTTCTGATAAGTATTAAGGCAGTGAATCTCAGATTTTTGAACTGGATAAAATTAGTCTTCCCTCCAAGTAAAAATGAGAATTCTAAAATATTTGCCAATGCCAGCCAAAGAAAACACCGACAACCCAATGCTAAACTGGCACAAATAGTTTCGTGTTAAGCAAGCAAACTGTGACAGAAACTGTGGTGTAGTAGTTAGAGAATCAGACTACGATCTAGGAGACCTGGGTTCAAACACCCATTCTGCCATAAAGCTTCCTAGGTGACTATGACAATTTCACCCTCCCTCACAGGGTTTCCCTTTATTTTGTTCTTCGCTGAGCAGCCCCTTTCCCCCTTTTCTTTGTTTTTTTTTCTGGCTGTCCCACCCAGTTGTTTGAATGTATATTGTTAGATGCTGACCCAGCACAGGGAACTGACGGGAAAGACTTAAATCCTGCTTTTTGTCCTGGTTTGATAATGGCACACGAGAAGCTGATGGTAAATCGAATATAACATCAGTTTTATTTCACTTTGAGGGGAAATGGTCAGGTAGGAATCAGGTTTAGGATTTATGTGGTGAACAGGCAACAAGAATGAGGTTTGTCAATGTACGTTGTTGTTTTCCGTCGCACAGTCGAGTCCGACTCTTCGCGAACCCACGGAACACATCATGCCAGGCCCTCCTGTCTTCTGTTGTGCTCTGGAGTTTGCTTAATTTCACGTTCATTGCATCAATAACACTGTCTAACCATCTCATCCTTTGCCGTCCCCTTATTCTTTGACCTTCAATCTTTCCCAGCATCAGGGTCTTCTCTAGTGAGTGCTCCCTTCCCCTTTGGTGGCCAAAGTATTTGAGCTTCAGCTTCAGTATCTGGCCTTCCAGGGAACAGTCAGGGTTGATTTCTTTTAGGATTGACTGATTTGATCTCCTTGCAATCCAAGGGACTCTCGAGAGTCTTCTCCAGCACCATAATTCAAAATAATCTATTCTTTGGCGCTCAACCTTCCTTATAGTCCAACTCTCAAAGCCATACATTACTACTGGGAATACCATTGCTTTGACCATACAGACTTTTGTTGGCAGGGTGATGTCTCTACTTTTTATTATGCTGTCTAGGTTTGCCATAGCTTTCCTCCCAAGGAGCAGGCGTCTTTTAATTTCATGGCTGCAGTCACCGTCTGCAGTGATCTTGGATCCCAAGAACGTAAAGTCTGTCACTGTTTCCATGACTTCCCCTTCTATTTGCCAAGGAGTGGTGGGGCCAGATGCCATGATCTTAGTTTTTTTGATGTTGAGTTTCAAGCCAACTTTTGTGCTCTCCTCTTTCACCCTCAGCAAAAGGCTCTTTAGGTCCTCTTCACTTTCTGCCATTAGAGTGGTATCGTCTGCATATCTGAGGTTGTTGATGTTTTCCCCAACAATCTTAATTCTGGCTTGTGATTCATCCAGGCCAGCATTTCGCATGATGTACTCCGCATATAAATTAAATAAGCAAGGTGACAATATACATCCTTGTCTTACTCCTTTTCCTATGCTAAACCAATCAGTTGTTCCATATCCGGTTCTAACTGTCACTTTTTGACCCTTATACAGGTTTCTCAGGAGGCATGTGAGGTGGTCTGGTACTCCCATCTCTTTAAGGACTTGCCATAGTTTGTTGTGATCCACACAATGAAAGGCTTTAGCATAGTCAATGAAGCAGAAGTAGACGTTTTTCTGGTATTCTCTTGCTCTCTCCATAATCCAGCGAATGTTGGCAATTTAATCTCTAGAATGAGGTAACTTTGTATAAAAATAAAACCAGGTAATTTGTCACAAACAAGTAACTGTTTTGATTATTCAGACAGGTCTTTAAAACTGGAGGAGAGAGATTTCTTGGCAGTTTTTCTTACATAAAGTAGCAGAAGCTTCTTGGTCTGACAGACACTACAGCTGGTGAAGGCAGGAACATTTACACAAGTTCCAGTTTCCTTCCTTATCCAGTGGTAGGGATCCCAAGTCCCCCCAGGGGGGCGGGAA